TAGAATGCACTTCACACAGGTCAATCCCACAGGTGATAAACAATGGGCAATTAGCCCCTTTGAAGGTCTCAGGCAGAAATTGTTTTTAGAACCAAAGTATGTATTTCATTATCTCAAATTGAAAAGCTTATTACTGAAATATGTTTCGATAAAGTGAGATGTGGTATTAGAGACCCTCTCGACATATCAAGAACTTCTATCAATATGTTAGTCTACTCCAACACAATCTAAGCTACTCTTGAAATGTTATGCATGAATGCAAAATGGTTTCTTTTTCTATAAACAGTCATATATGCTTAAATGGGAAATGGAGGGTGGCAAGGTTCTCATAGCTCATGAGTGGACTGGGACCATAAATGCACGGAAAAGGGTTATCATGTGTTACAGGCCCATAGAAAACGAATGTATTGGTATTACTGAGGATTCATAAGATATTCCCTTTGTCCTTCCCACTATGTTGGAGATGCCAATCAGTAATGGACAACATGACGCACATGTGGTGGAGATGTATGATACTCCAATCATTTTGGTCACTAGTATTTAAGGTTATCTGCCACTTATACTCTTACCATTACTCCAAATTATTAGAGGTTTCCCTGTGGCTACACATGGACGGAACTAGTCCCATGCTGGCTGTTACTGGAGTAAAATACATATTAGTTATATTTATGAGGAAAAGGCAATACTCGCCTTTAGACACCACAGCCTATTTGATTTTATATGGAGTCCTTGGTGGTCTTTTTTACTCGAACATGCAACTTTACACAACTGGAAGGGTGAGGAAACTTTTGCTGTGACATGTCACCTTTGCAATGACCCTGTGCATTGGTTCTGGTGTCTAATATGCCTAAAATTTAACAGCTTTACTGGAAGGGCTTTGTGGTGGGGGTGGCAATGCCGTCAATAAGATATTGTCATTGCCTACTGTATTGCACAGGAGTTATATATGTGATTTTGTATGGACCCCAAGTGACAAATTCTGTACCATTGTCCCCCAATTTTCTTTTTAGCTAAAATATAATTTAAAAAAAAAATTGTAATAATAACGTTGTTTACATTGAATTGTTCATAGCATATTTAGAACAACAGTGGTATCTTTTAAACAAGATTTAGTTTTACTAAAAAAAAAATGATTTTGATTTATTTGAGAAATGTAATCATTCCCTGATGCAATGGGACATCCTGGGGAAGTACATGAAAAGTTGGAGTTTTAGGATGGACCACATTCAGAAAGTTATATTTTTTTGGAATTTAAAACGTGTTCCATTTACCTACCCCATTCCAACAAACTACCCAGGGATTTTCTTAAATCCTTTGAAGAGAGGCATGGCAAAACAAGAGGTGGAGCGATGCGCTTTGCATCAGACCCCAGATCGCCCTGAATGAGAAAAAGTGAGGATAGCTTTGTGGAGCAATATACAGGGAAATGACAGAACTATTGGGACTTTACAGATCCACTATATATATGGTTAGTGCCTGTTACTAGCCCCCTAAGGATTTTAACATGAAAGTTATTTATGGTTACATGTATCTGGTGACTGGGGGGTTTATTACTTGGATGTACCTTTTTACACAATTTCTTATTTTTGTCATTACTGTGGTTGTTAATGCCTATAAACTTGTATGCTTGTTGCATATTAGTAATTAGACTACGATAAAATAAAAATCTCATTTGCACTGCAATATTGTACATTAGCACTTTTGCACATTGTATTTAGTGGTTATATTATTAACACTTAAAATTAGCACCTGCATGTCACCTTGTATTCAATTATATTGCTGTCTAAGAAGAATTAGACATTAATAAAAAAAAAAACACATGTAGGGTTTATGCACATTTATTGTTAAAAGAAAACGTTCAACACAAAGAGTTATCATTTAGTTGTAAATGCCAACAGCAATCAATTAAACTATAAAATATTTACTTTGTAGGAAAGATTTAGTTTTAAATCATGAATAATGAGAATAGAGATGACCTCATGGTCACAAAGTAAGGCAGCTGTGCCAACATACATTTACAATTTGTCTTTTACATAGACCTCATCATTATTATAATTTTATTTTTATTCCTCTGAAAGCCATTGAGTTATTTTTCTGTCTTTGGGTCTTGTGCCAATATTTTTTTTTCTTCACTGGAAGGCAAATAGTCACAGAAGCAGGTGGTAAGCGATTTAATATGAAAAAGGGTTTTAAAAATTACAGCTAAACACCTGTCTGAAATTAGATCCTTCCTCTTCGAATCGGGTAATGAAATATCGAGAATAATCTGAGATTTCACAGAGTTTTTAAAGACTCATGTTAACTTTCAAAGTATTCTGTTTTATGCCTTTTAAATATGATAAAAACAGGCTTTTAATTTTTTTTCTGTGCTAAATTATCTTTACATTTTGTTTATTGATTAAACTGTCTGGAATAACACAATTTAAATTAAACATATGCAGAACATATATTCTCATCGCATGTATTCACTGTATTGATTTAGGTTTATTTTTTTAACCTGTCATTCCCATGCTTTCCTAATATTGCATTAATGGTCTACTATTAGGAGGTATAGGAGGGAATTAGGGTTCAGACATATTTGAGGAAAATGTGTTTCTGGTACTCTGCTCGGTTTTCTTATAGGATACAAAATACAGCACTCTTCATATATGTAGGAGGATGTGCTGTATTGGTAATCAAATGAGTGATGGACCTCTTTTCATTTGATTATTTTACTGAAGGGTTGAACTCATCTCCCTCCAAGTAAGTGGTTGGTCATGACCAATCCTCATAGTTCCATGTAGCGACAATTATATCCCCAGTCTCAAGGGTCTCAGCAGCCCCTGATAGAGCAACATCTGGATTATAGAACTTTATATCTATGTGCCATTAACACATTAACAAAACATACTAAGAATGTATGTTCGACAGCAGAGCTAGCACGATAGAAGAATAGAATAAACAGGATAATTATAGAGCCCTAAAAATGTATAGAAAAGTTCAGCAATTCGGAATGAGCAAATTATAACAGAGAGGGGAAACAAGGTTCTTGAAAGTTGTCTTGTATATTATTATCATAGGACTAAGGTCAGAAAATCTAAATTGACAATTTGCTTGCAGCCTACACAAAATCTTTTTTTTAATCACAATTTTTTATTTTGACAGTTATAGAAAGACATGTGTACAGGTATGTAGTAAATAACAGGTATATACAGCATTGTATACAGTTATACAAAGATTCAAATGGCATCATAACCTTCGTGCATATATTCAATTTTTACCTGAGTATTGTAATACATCATTGTTCAAGCACCATCTAAATATGCCTCATGTACACTATTGTGCGAACTGAGTCAAACGTTGTTGTTTTTTCCCTAGCATAGGGAAGGAGAACTAGGGGATGGAGTAGGAGGGTACGGGTAGGGTGTCAGGTGAAGGGGGGATGGGGGGGGGGGTGGGTGCAGGGCCGGACTGGGGATTCCAAAGCAGCCCTGGAAAAAAAATCTATGCCAGCCCCATAAGTCATTGCGCCATATATTGTCACATGTAATATGTAAGGCTATGTCTTGCCACCCTAGATGATATATATATATATAAATATATATATATATATATATATATATATTCATATATAAATATATATATATATATATATATATTCATATATATATATATATATATATATATATATATTTTCCAATATAAAATATGCAGACATGCATACACAGACAATATAAAATATGCAGACATGCAGACACAGACAATCTCACTGACACAAGCTGATTGATACACAGCCTCATATACAAACAATCTCACTGATATACATAAGGTCATTGACATAAAAACACAAGCCCACTCACTAGCAGGCGCGCACACAAACACACACAGCTTAATGTAGTGGCTCTGGTGTCTATAGCCTGTCCCTGCAGGCTTTTCAATGTAAACACTGACTTTTTAGAGAAAAGGCAGTATTTACATTGCTTCCTAGTGACAGACACTCAGACGGTCACTAGAGGTGCTTCCTGTGTCAGTGCGGATTGGCTGAGATCACCAAGCTTGATGATCTCAGCCGTAGAGGCAGGGCCAGTCGAGGGGAGACCAGCACGACGTGGGGGAAAAAAAAGGTGAGTAAAAACATACATACACACACACATACCATGACAGGCACACACCATGACAGACACACACCATGACACAGACAGACTGTGACACAGACACACACACTGTGACACAGACAGAAACACACACACACCGTGACACAGACAGAAACACACACACACCGTGACACAGACAGAAACAGACACACCATGACAGACAGACACACCATGACACAGACAGACACACACACACCATGACAGAGACACACACATACCATGCAAGACACACACACACCATGACAGACACACACCTTAAAAGACACACACCTTGACACAGACACACCATAACACAGACAGACCGTGACACAGACACACACACATGACACAGACAGACACACACCATGACACACAGACACACACACACACCACGACACAGAGAGACCATGACAGAGACAGACACACATTACATGACACAGACAGACACACACACACACACCCTGACATACAGACACACACACACACCATTACAAACACACACACCATGACACACACACACACCATGACACAGACACACATTGCATGACACAGACAGACTGTGACACAGACAGACACACATTACATGACACACACACACCATGACACAGACACACATTGCATGACACAGACAGACGCACACCCCATGACACAGACAGACACACACAATGACACAGACAGACACACACCATGACACAGAGACACGCACACCATGACACAGACAGAGACACACACACACACACCATGACAAGACAGAGACACACACACACACCATGACACAGACAGAGACACACACAGACACACACACACATACACTCACACTGACACAGAATTTCTACCTGTGGGGAAGCTCCTTTGGCGGCCGCAGGGGGAGCTGGCTGTTCTGTCTCTGCTCCCCTTCCCCAGCGCACTACAAAGAGACCGGGGCCGGAATATGACGTCATATTCCGGCCCTGGTCTCTTTGTTGTGTGCTGGGGAGGAGGAGCAGAGACAGAACAGCCAGCTCCCTCTGCGGCTGCCAGAACAGCCAGCTCCCTCTGCGGTGGCATGTGAGCCAGCTGCCTGCCCGGCCCCAGGTGCCGACGGCCCACCGGGAATCCCGGTATCCCGGTGGGCCAGTTCGGCCCTGGGGGGGGTGTCATGGTTGCAACCTGGAGTCTGAAAACCATATGGTGACTTCCTGCAGCCAATCTTCTGTCATAGTGTAATCTCTGGGTGTGAGTGGTATGAAAGCCCAACCTTGCCCTAGGTGTTTTGATTTGTACCAAAAGCCAACTGACAAGGTTGCATTCTTACAGGCTTTTCATTTATATTTGACTATGTAGCTTTTGAAAACACCACAAAACCTGTACATGAGGGGTACTGTTATACTCAGGACACTTCACTGAACACAAATATTAGTGTTTCAAAACCGTAAAACGTATCTCAACAATTATTTTGTCAGTGTAAGTGCCATTTGTGTGTGAAAAATGCAAAAAACTTCACTTTCACTGATGATATAATTGTTGTACATTTTACTGTTTTGAAACACTAATATTTGTGTTCAGCGAAGTCTCCCGAGTAAAACAGTACCCCCCATGTACAGGTTTTATGGTGTCTTGGAAAATGACAGGGTTAAATATAGTGCTAGCAAATGAAATTCCCTGGACTTTTGGCCTGGGTTATCAGGCAGGTCCCGCTAATTGTAATTAATAAAATGACTTAATTATGTAAAAATATTACATAAATATATACGTAGAATTAAAAAATAATAATATATATACCGTATATACTCGAGTATAAGCCGAGTTTTTCAGCACATTTTTTGTGCTGAAAAACTCCCACTCGGCTTATACTCGAGTCAATGTCTGTATTGTGGCAATTTTCATTGCCACAATACAGACCAGGACCGCCAGGCTCATTACAAGCCTGGCGGTCCTGTTGGGGGCTGGCAGCGAGCTGTTACTTAATAATATTATTTTATTATATTATTATTATTTGAATATTATATAATTTTAATAATATTATTTTATTATTATATTATTATTATTTTAATATTATGTTATTTTAATAATATTATTTTATTATTATATTATTATTATTTTAATATTTGCATTATTTTTTTTAAATGTTTTTTTGTCCCCCCTCCCTGACCAGGCAACAAGCAGGGAGGGGGGACAAAAAAAAAACATTTAAAAAAAAATGCAAATATTAAAATAATAATAATATTATTAAAATAATATAATATTAAAATAATAATAATATAATAATAAAATAATATTATTAAAATAATATAATATTAAAAACATTTTTTTTTACACACTACTCTTAGGTTTGCCACCTGACTGGTATTTTATTGGCTCAGCAGGTATTTGAGGCTGCCTGGCCATGCCAGTATTGCAGTAATACCGGCAATACAAATGCAGGTATTTTTCTCAAAATAAATGGAGATTACTCTACAATACCAGCACCAGCCAGTAAGGGTCAATGTGTGTGGAGAGAGGCAGGGATAGGAAGTTACAGCATATCCCTGCCTCTCTCTACTACTTACTGATCTGTGGGGGAGCAGCAACACAGCACAGAGAAAAGACAGCAGCTCTACAGCTCAGGTAAGTGAGGGATGGGGACACTGGGGGACACATGGGGACACTGAGACACTAGGGGACACATGTGGACACTGAGACACTAGGGGACACTGAGATACTAGGGGACATATGGGAGCACTGAGACACTAGGGGACACAGACTCTAGGGGACACATGGGGACACAGACACTAGGGGACACTGAGACACTAGGACACATGGGGACACAGACACTGGGAGACCTGGAAACACTGAGACACTTGGGGACACTGGAAAACATGGGGACACTGAGACACTAGGGGACACTGGGACACATGGGGATGCTGAGACACATGGGGATGCTGTGAGACATTGGGAGACACTGAGACATTGGGACACTGAGAAACTATGTCCCCATTTCTCCCAGTGTCCCCATGTCCCCCATCCAGTGTCGCTAGTGTCTCAGTGTCCCTAAGTCTCCCAGTGTCTGTGTCCCGTGTCTCTCAGTGTGCCTAGTGTCCCCATGCGTCCCAGTGTCCCTATATGTCCCAGTGTCCCCATGTCTATGTCCACAACTTCCCCAAGTCTCCCAGTGTCCCCATGTCTCTGTGCCCCAAGTGTCTTAGTGTCCCCAAATGTTTCAGTGTCCCTATGTCTCCCAGTGTCTGTGTTCCTAGTGTCTCAGTGTGCCTAGTGTCCCCATGTCTCCCAGTGTCCCTATATGTCCCAGTGTCCCCATGTCTATGCCCACAACTGTCCCCATGTCTCCCAGTGTCCCCAAGTGTCTGTCTCCCAGCCAGTGTCCCCATGTCTCCCAGTGTCCCCTGGTCTCCCAGTGTCTGTGTTCCCATGTCTCTGTGTCCCTAGTGTCTTAGTGTCCCCAAATGTTTCAGTGTCCCCATGTCTCCCAGTGTCTGTGTCCCTCATGTCTGTGTCCCCATTTCTCCCAGTTTCCCTAAATGTCTCAGTGTCCCCATGTCTCCCAGTGTCCCCATATCTCAGTGTCCCAGGGTCTCTCAGTGTCCCCGGGTCTCTCAGTGTCCCCATGTCTCACTGTGTCCCCAGTATCCTAGTGACATGGGGACACACTGAGACATTGGGACACTGGGAGAAATGGGGAGACTGGATGACTTGCGAGACTGAGACACTGGGAGCAATCCATCTATACAGCAGAATCAAACTGTGAGTAGTTTGTTGGTGATTTTACAGAATTTTCTCTGATGTCACTCCTTGTGATTATACAAATGATTAAGGCTGGTATTTTTTTCCAAGAAAGGTGGCAACCCTAACTACTCTTCACATACTCTTGCTTAAAGGAGCACTATTGTTGGGGATAAAATCAGCCTGGGCCCTTTGTGGATGATGGATATTTGCCAACTCATACAGAGCTCTGGAAATTGGAAATGAATAGCAGAGACGTGTTCAATAACCAATTCAAATTGTATTCATACGTCAGTTATATTTATAACCCATTTTCATAGCAGGATGGGAGGGGGAAAAATGACCATATGGGCGTGACAATGACATTGTTTTTCACAAGTTATAAACAGCTGTTTTTAGTTATAATTCGATGTTACATAATGTATGCATATTGGATAAAACCCAGATGATTACAAATACAGAAATCTTGGACAATTAACAAGGTCATTCCAGAATCCTTATCATGTCATGTCATGTCATGTCGTGTCATGCCATGTCATGTCATGTCATGTCATGCAAATATCTTTTTTCCAGGAACATAACAAAATCATGTTTCAATAACATTTCTGAGAATTGGATAAGTCATTGTGACATGAGATACAATTCCAAATTTATTCTTGATTCAAATTAACCCTTACATGAACAGTTAGGATATAGTGCAAAATGGATATTCGCATCTACAATTCCCCTCTTAGATCATATCATGATCTACCTTATGGAATATCCATGGGAGGCCTGCGGCAGAGAAACAAAAGGAGGTATATTCAAACGTGCTAATCACGTCTGCGGGACTTTCCTTATTTCTTCACCTCGATTTCCCCCATTTGCTCTATGCCGTAGGTTTTCCCTTTAAGAGGAGATCGAGCTGTCGATTTTCAGCTTCTGTAATCATCTGTTGTACACATCTTTTAAGTGTACAAGTTAAATATTTCAAACAGCTGACATCTTAACTGCACATCATGTTATCTGCAACTTGAGCCTTGGATCAAAACAGGCAAAGTGTATTATTCCCAACAACGGGAATATTATTATTATAATTCACAATGTAAACACCTATAATCAAAAATGGGAATAAAATCTATTTCCCCTCTTTGGACCAGGGTCTTGGATTACCAGTCCACCCAGTGAACTTGGGCCAGGTCAAAAATCCCAGTGGCAAAAACTCATAATTGAGAAAAAAAGCACATCTGGGTAAATTCTAAGTGAGGGCCATGACTGTGTAAACATGTCATCCCCTCACGTTGACAGCATTAGTGACTTATAAAACCTGCACTATGTAAGTAAATAGCTCAGGTATCGGGATTGGGAAACACTTCTTGATTAGTTTGAAAAGGCCCACTTACATATTAAATCATAAGATCATTTCTAATCAGTTTGCAATTCTAGCAATAATCCCAATCATGACCTTGCGTCCTATGCCTCCTAATCAAATCCCTATTTCGATAGTCCAGTCATATCCACACTTAATACCTTGGAATCCATCCTTGGTACACTCAACATACATCAATGACACACATAGTACATCCATGCCTGAGTAAGCTAACACTTCCTCTCTCTCCGGCTAACTCTACAAAAATAAAAATAACAAAATAGTTCAATAGTCCAGCATAGTCCAGAAAAATATTATAAGTCTTTCAAGGAGTATAAAGAATCTTAGACACCATAAACTTTGTTCCATAATCTTAGACACCATAACATAGCTAAGGGTAGCAATATGGCTGACAACAAGACAATGTCAGCTTCCACATAGTTCTTAATTCTTCTGTTTGCTGGATGTTCACCACAATACTCTGTGCAACACCCCAATTGTTGAAAGGGTAATACAGAAATAGCGGCATTAGACAGCACTGCATCTTCAGGACTTTCCAAGTTAGTTTATGTCCTCATAAGTAAGCATCTCAGTTTCTTCGGCCAGCATGGATTTTGACCAAACAGATTTAATTGCAAAAAAGGTAAGTAGGCAGGTAGGTCAGCCAGAGAGATTGGTGTGTAGTCCCAAATATCAGGCAGCACAAATACTCCAGTACGGTCTCTATAATCATACAAACACAAGGATCAGTACGACATCAATAAATTAATTATCTAGGCTAAACTCAAATTAGAGACTAAAGTTAAACTCTTAACTAGTGTAACATGTACGTCTCTCAGTTCTGTTTATGTCCTTTATAAAATTTTAATACATAATTTCCCTTTAAAATGCCTTGTATGGATGAGAGAAGCACTCATTCTATATAAATGCTTGTTGAGTACTAAAACACTAACATATACATATTGGTATAATTCCCAATAAAATGCTGTTCTTAAACTTAAACCTTGATTTGATAATCTCAATTAATTACTTTAATAAAATTTTGTGGACCCTGATAACATCTTTGGAAACCGAAACCTTTTATAGATCCCGATGTGTGTGATCATGTTTTAATACATGTTGGAACCTCCATACAGTTATCCCACTTAAACAATATTTTTTTTTTCAGAACAACTAGGAATGAAATAGGAGAAACAAAATAAATTACTATTGTTCTAAAGTGCTTTGTTTAATACAGGTTTCGGAAGAGTTGTCTTGCTGTGTTGCAAGTGGCCTCTGATAAGGAAGGGACAGCAAACTGTAGGCATATGTTATATTAAGTTGCTCTCACTTGTCAGGTCTTGGAAACCCACTTAATTTATTGCAGATGCCTCTATTATACCACTTTACAAATTGACTAAGCATACTTATTATCCTATTTTATTTTAGTTATTTCACATTGCACAGCCTATGCAAACAATGTCTAGGTCCCAACTTCAACTTGTACATCCTCTAAGAGCCAGCATTAATACTGTTTTATCTATCAAAACTATATATAAAGTATTAAAAACATGAACCATCTGTGTATTAGGCTGAGGTTGTTGGGTGTGGGTATAGCTTGAAAGTTGTGGTTGGTATTGAGGAACCTGCCAGGGTGGGAGTCCTTGAATGCCAGCTGGGCCAGGTTCTCCCCTAGCACCGGGTTCTCCTTTGTCTCCTTGAGCACCAGGTTCACCATTGTTACCCTTAGGTCCAGGGGAACCTTTGAGGCCCTGAGGTCCAGGAGAACCGGGTTCACCACAAGCACCTTTGGGCGAATCCCTGCTATTCATAATTAAAACAGTGCTGAAGTTACCACCTCTACAAAAGTTAGATCCTTTGATCAAATTCTCTACCTCTGCCTCTAAAACTTTTCTGATTCAATCTATCACCTCCAAAATTTCTTTGTCTCGCCTGCTTAAGATCACAATCCTTTTGTGACCGATACAACATACTTTTCCCTCTTTCTTTATATCAAAACAACCTGCTGTATCTTTCTCATGAATCTTCCCAAGAAATTCAGTTCAAAGAGGGCCAGTCACAGACCAACAGTTTGACCAAAAGTGAACAAGGAGGAAGCATATTCCATATGAAGGTCGAGATGACTTAACTCATACCCCCTCTTTGTGTACACCTATTTGTGTACCACACAGATATAATATTAATAGGCTTTTGAAGATTTATTGTGCATGTATAGCACGGTTGTCTAGGGGTGTATACATAAACAGTGAAAGCAGAGTCTTCATATGGGGTTTGCAATACTGACAGTCTGGGTCATAGGTGTAATACAGACATGCGGTTAGGAACTTTTCCATTGTCAGAACACTAATATATTGCAAATATTAAAATCATATTGCTATACCTGCAAGGATATGGTTTTAATACTTCAATTGAGTTCAAATTGAGTATCAAAAATTCTAACCACAAAAACTAAATTTCATATGCTTATCAAAAATGAGTTTAACCCCTTAGCAATTTAATAGAGTGACCTCTTCCCATAGTATGGTTCCTTTTATAATTATTATATTATTTATTCTCTTCTGGGTCTGCAAAATGCTTTCAATATACCAATACAAATATAATACAGTAGTTTAGAATTGCCTCAAAAGAAATGATCTGATCTCTATTAAAAATACCATTTCATCATTTTCCTATAATCAATGAGGCATACTAGATGAATCTTAATCTTGGAAAAAACCTATCCTATACATCCATAATTTTTCTTGTTATATAACCATATAACATAACACATTTTTCTTTTCTTAAATAATGCAATGCACTTTAAAAGTAGCGTTAACTCTAAATACTCCCCTAATAATACTGAAACGTGGATCCACGATTTTGAAAAGCAAATTATATATTTTTCTTTTTCTTTCCCAGGGGCCCCTTTCTTGTTGGCTGATCAGCGTTTTTTTAATCTGTTGTAAAAAGACACTAAAGGCTTGCGTTAATGACATGCAAATATTCTTTAAATATTCTTCATACTCATTGTAATATCACACATCATCTTATAGCACAGAAAACATGTAGCAGATATCCAGCAGACATGCCAATACAAAAAGCATATTCTTGGACAGGTAATTAACTCAATCCAAAATAAATTAATAAATGTCACACTATGTGACGGACATAATTTGGTTCTCATATTTGTGCATTATGCATGTCTGCAAACAATGCAAGCAGTACTGCTTTAAGATTAGATCAGAGCACCTGGCAACTGGACAAGAAAGTCAAATTTTGGCAGGAAGTCCATTATTGCAACAGAATTTTGGAAATCAGCTCAAATTTACAAAAACAGACTCCCTCTTTTTTTCTTTCTTAAGACTACAACTCATATTGCTCTTGGACAAGTATTCAATAATAAATCAGTTATTTAATAGATTATTACGCTGCCATTTTCATCTGTATCAATACTAAGACAAATTTATTCAAATATAATTTAAAATAACACAGCAAAATACCCATTAACATACATGACAATTAAACTGCGCACTTCAAAATGAGTACCCAAAACAAACATTTATGACAATCATCATTCACACAGAATAAACTTCTAACAGCTGTATTCAGAACATATTATTGTAAGGTATACCAATTTTAGTTTGTATTGGATTTATTTAAGATTTCTGGTACCAAAGGGTTTATTTTTTCTTTTTAAAGAAGGGATCCCGTACGGCCATATAACGCGTTTGACTTAAACATTTGTATAACACTTGCATTAACCAGTTGCAACATATGAAACCTGTCAATGGAATTTCTCTCTTATACGCTTATAGAACATTTGGACCAGATTACACAGACATGGTATCACCTGCATTTGTCAGAACTCTCAAAGACTCAAAATCTTTATACTACTCCATGTTAAAGGCATGGCAAAATTTTGACCGGTCAATTTGAGTTTCCAAAAGTCATATCAACACAGGTAAAAACCTTTGTCCATGGTTTTCTGATCCTACATTCCATGACCAAAATTTCAAACCCACTTCTTCACAGTTTGGGTCGCAAGCAATAAAATCTCAGCAACCCCATACAACAATTTACAGAATACATACAATTTAAAGCACATACAACATGTGACGTACTGGAATACTACAAGTTAGCTTACAGCACAATATGAAGCATGTGTTGGAACGCTGAAAATATACATTTTGCTCTCTTCTAAATTTACAACATAAATTCTCTGCAACAAACACACAGGGCAGAAAGAATGTGGTTTTTGACGTTTTGAATGAAGTGACTTTTTGTCCCAATATGAAAATAAAGGGCTCATCATATAAACAATCATACATCCCACTCTCATGAAAAAGTGTAGTGGGCTTATAGTACTTTTGACCAAGTATAAAAATAAGGGCTCATTATGCAAACAAACATACATGCAGAGAAATCATGTTAGTTCTAGAATTTTTAGCCCCCCTTAAATAACCTCTAGTTTTTTTCTTCATCATCACCTTTACATGTACTTTTGACATTCCCTCAATTAAGACTTTATGCTTAAAATCAGCGTTGCACACCATAAATTAGCACATAAATTAGCAAGCCGGAGTAATGCCAAACATCCATCATACCTTTTAACCCCCTTTTTTTCCTTTTTTTTTTTTTAAACCATTTTAGTCTGCCAAATTGACATCTACGTTAAATAAATACCACAGGCCACCAAAGACTGGAAATCTGTTTTACAACCTACCAAAGGCAACCTCTACCAAAGAGGGATCTAGGGACGTCTCCCATATGTAAATGTACATCACAGGTACATCACAGCCTACCAAAGGCTTAAAATTCTTTTTAACACCTGGCCAAAGGTGAACCTTTTACCAAAGAGGAAATGTGCACAATAACTACTACTACCTACCAAAGGCAATCCTCCAACCCGTGGAGTAATAGAAGTCTACCTAAGACTTAACAAAATACCATGTCTACCAAAGACATTATCCTGTGAAAATCCCCTTTAAAAATGTAAATAGTGAAAAACCCCATTAAAACAAGAAATGCAATGTGTGGGAGGATGGCAGAAGCAGGCAAAGGTCCCCAACCCCTTAAGGACACACGACAGAAATACTCCGTCATGATTCCCTTAAATTCCAGAAGTTGTGTCCCCAAGGGGCTAAAGACCCCCTTACCTGCAACTCCGTTCCTAATTGCACCCAAACTTCTGACACCAATTTGTTGGGGATAAAATCAGCCTGGGCCCTTTGTGGATGATGGATATTTGCCAACTCATACAGAGCTCTGGAAATTGGAAATGAATAGCAGAGACGTGTTCAATAACCAATTCAAATTGTATTCATACGTCAGTTATATTTATAACCCATTTTCATAGCAGGATGGGAGGGGGGAAAATGACCATATGGGCGTGACAATGACATTGTTTTTCACAAGTTATAAACAGCTGTTTTTAGTTATAATTCGATGTTACATAATGTATGCATATTGGATAAAACCCAGATGATTACAAATACAGAAATCTTGGACAATTAACAAGGTCATTCCAGAATCCTTATCATGTCATGTCATGTCATGTCGTGTCATGCCATGTCATGTCATGTCATGTCATGCAAATATCTTTTTTCCAGGAACATAACAAAATCATGTTTCAATAACATTTCTGAGAATTGGATAAGTCATTGTGACATGAGATACAATTCCAAATTTATTCTTGATTCAAATTAACCCTTACATGAACAGTTAGGATATAGTGCAAAATGGATATTCGCATCTACAACTATAGGGTCAGGAACACAATCATTTATTTCTGACCCTATTATGTTAAAACCAACACTGGCCCCTTCTTGTCTCCCTAAGTATAGTAAAATATAACTTGTATTCAAGTCTGCAGCTGCTGGCTCTGCCTCTGAATTGACTGTCTGCTGCCATAATCAGAAGTGGTGGTCTGAGCAAATTACAATACTTCCCCATAGGATTGGCTGAGACTATCAACTAGGCAGATCAGGGGCAGAGCCAGCACAAGCCCAACATAGCCCTGGCCAATCAGCATGTCCTCATAAAGATAAATTGAATCAATGTATCTCTATGAGGAAAGTTCAGTGTCTGCATGCAGAGGGTGGAGACAGTGAATGGCAGTGCTGCATACTAGGCAGTACTGCTCCAGGAAGCACCTCTAGCAGCCATCTAAAGAGTGGCCAGTGGAGTTATTTTCTCTGAAAAGACAGTGTTTACTGCAAAAGGCCTGAATGGAATGATTTTACTTACCAGAACAAATACAATAAGCTGTAGTTGTTCTGGTGACTATAGTGTCCCTTTAAGTTTGGAAACTTAAGAGGGATGTATGGGAACAAAACTTGTGTGGACTAGCTGACAATAAAATTAGTTTAGGTAATGCAGACGCTGGTCTCTCTAACACTGTGGCATGTCCCCTTTCTTCTACACTCACTACATACACCTTTTCTCTGTCTCATACTATATACCAGGAACTTCTGCCTGCTAGAAGGCAAGGAGACAAGTGGACCAGTGAGTGCTAGGGGACAGTCCTTAGAAAGCATGGAGTGAGCGCATCATTAGATGCATTTATGTCAAGCTCATGGTGCTGCCTGAATAGTATGCCCTTAGTTGGACAGCCTGCAAGATTGGCGGGCAGTCTGACATGCATTCATACCAGGCTGTCCTTCAAATTCTTTGGACAGACATGCCCCCTTTTTGGGCATGTTCTCCCCTTTTGGCAGGTCTGGTCACGTGATTTGCACCAGTGGCCCACCCTTTTACCCCACCCATTGACTTCCTGCTTCACTGGACACTGCTGTTAGGGGTTATGGATTTACTTGAAAGAAGAAAGCATAAATTAGAGAGAGATTAGCATAGAGTATGTGTTTTCCTATAGCTGCATCATATGAGTTTCCCTCCAGCACCATCTCCATCAGATACATGACGCTTGGTAGGTATGACTGTTTTAGTGTTTTTGGTCGATAAGATTCCGTAATTAGGCCCATCATATTTGTCAGCACCAGGCCCAGTGTGCTCTTAATCCGGCCCTGACTCCATTGACTACAACCCTCTGTTGCCTGTCACTCAGCCACTGCCTTACCCATTCAACAATATTGGAATCCGAACTTAAAGATTGCAGTTTATTGATAAGCCTTCTATGTGCAACAGTGTCAAAAGCCTTACTGAAATCTAGGTAAGCAATGTCTACTGCACCACCCTGATCTATAATTTTAGTTACCCAATCAAAAAAATCAATAAGATTAGTTTGGCATGATCTCCCTGAAGTAAACCCATGTTGTCTCTGATCTTGAAATCCATGTGTTTTTAGATGTTCAACAATCCTATCCTTTAACATGGTTTCCATCACTTTCCCCACTACTGAAGTAAGGCTTACTGGCCTATAGTTGCGCGACTCCTCCCTATTACCTTTCTTGTGAATGGGCACAACATTTGCTAACTTCCAATCCTCTGGGACTACTCCTGTTAACAATGATTGGTTAAATAAATCTGTTAATGGTTTTGCAGGCACACCACTAAGCTCTTTTAATAGCTTTGGGTGTATTCCATCAGGTCCCATTGACTTATTTGTCTTTACTTTTGACAGTTTAAATAGAACCTCTTCCTGTGTAAACTCACGTGTAATAAATTACTCATTTATCCTTTTTCTTAACTGAGGTCCCTTTCCTTCATTTTCATCTGTAAATACAGAACAAAAATATTAATTCGAGGCACTCCCCCTGCTGGCACTGCTATGGACGGCTATTCCATCCATGTGATCATGAGGTCCTTGCAGGAGGGCCGGATTGGCAGCAGGGGGACTTCCTGGGATGCCAGGCAAGTCACCCCACCGCGATAGCTGGTGTGGGATCGCTGGCGAGCAGGTAAGTACTATGCCGCCCGCCGGCATTTATAGCTGGGTCCCCTAGGAAAGCATAGCACGCCCGCCATCCTTAAGGGGTTAAACATAATCATTGTTGTGTCCTTTCTTACACACAATTCATTATTAAAGGGACACTTTAGACACCTAAAGCACTTTCGCTTGCTGAAAAGCTTTATGTGTGAAGACTGTGTCCTCTTTTTTTCATTTTGCAAAAAGTGCAGATTTCAATAGAAATTGACACTTTTATAAATTATACTGGTACATTCCCTGGCTTTTCAGGCAGACAACATACCCTTTTACTTCCTGGTTTAGCTAACTTATTTGCACTGAACTCAAGAGGCAGCAATTGCCCAGAGCACCTGTCTAGCCAAGACTTCTCATTGAGCTTCATTGGAATGTCTGTGATTGAACTGTTACATAAAGTCTGGGTGAGGTTAGAATCGGAGGGCTTGCAAAGGCAGGAGACAACCGATCTGCAGTTTTTGCAAGCTGTTTTTAGATATAACTCCAATGAAAAAAATGCATAATTAAATACATGCATATTTTTATTTTGTGTTATACCTACTAAACATGATTTTTGTATATTTTGTATTTGGCCAGTGGAGTGTCCCTTTAACACTTTAACGTATATTTGTATTTGAACCTGCTTAGTACAGGCCCCTATAGTAGGCATCTTACTGGCCAGGGATAGGAGACAGCTTTTTTTCACCTAGCAGAAATGAAAACCACAATTAATTTGAGAACAAGTCAAACAGATTTATCATTCACTTGTGTTCGTGTTGTTTCAGAAGATTCATTGCTAGGGTAATAGGACACGTAGCTCAACATAAATCTTATTACAGTTTAAAGCAAAAAATATACACACGTTGACTGATTTACCATACTAGGCTTTTAGGACAATATTGTAAGTGTCCCTTTTCGGAACTGATGGGTTCTAGATTTTTATTACCAAACTTTTAGTTCCTTGGCAGCAATGTGCGAATTAGCAATGCTATCCAAAACAAACAAGCACAATACATGTATATAATTTTAATACTGCAGAATGTCTGTGATGCATTCATAATCCCACAAAAATGTTTGGTGCTAATGGATTCCATGGTTATCATGGGATAACAAATGTATGAAAGTTATCTCGTAATGTATGATGTAATGTCTGGATTTGAAATAGTTCTTTGACAATGATCCTTTATAAAGCACCTGTGTAATAGTTGATAGAGGGACAGGGCCGGATTAACATAGGGGCTGATGGAGCTGCAGCTCCAGGCCCAGGCCCATGGAATAGGCCCACTGATTTATAAAAAAAAAATATATATATTATTATTTTTTTTTTTAACTTTTTTTTTTTCACACACTACTCTTAGGGATTCCACCTGGCTTTTATTTTATTGGCACAGCCAGTATTTGAGGCTGCCTGGATTGGTGCTAATATTGCAGGAGACTGGTACTATAAATGCTGGTATTTTTCTGTGTATATAAACAAGAGATTATCATACGCCTGTGCACTGGCTGTGTAGGGGTCGTTGCATGTGTGAGACAGGTAGGAGTTTAGGGAAGTTCCAGCATATCCCTCCCTGCCTATCTATACTCACTGATCTGCAGGGGTGCAGCTACAGAGAGTCCAGACAGCAATTCCCACCCTGCAGAGACAGCCTACAGCTCAGGGAAGTAAGGGATGGGGGCAAAGGCTGCAAGGAGACATGGGGACACTGAGACACTAAGGGACATTGGGAGACATTATGACACAGACACATGGGAACACAGTGTCCCCATGTCTCCCAGACAGTGTCCCTGGTGTCTCAGTGCCCCCTAGTCTCCCAGTGCCCCCAGTCTGCCAGTGTCTCACTGTGCCCATATCTCCTAGTGCCTCCATGTTTCCCAGTGCCTCAAGTGTCTCAATGTCCCCATGTCTCCAAGCTAGTGTTCCTTGTGTCTGTGGCCCTGGTGTCTCCTTTTCCCCATGTCTCAATGTCCCCCAGCCAGTGTCTCTAGTGTCTGTGTCCCTGGTGTCTGTGTCCCCATGTCTTCAAGTGTCCCCTATTTTCCCAGTGTCCCCATGCATCCCAGCCAGAGTCCCGTAGTCTCCCAGTGTCACTGGTGTCTCCGTGTCCCTAGGTCTCCCCGTGTCCCCAGGTCTTCCCGTCTTCCTAGTGACATGGGGAACCTGGGATACTTGAGGACACAGGGAGACATGGGGCATTGAGACACTGTGATACATAGGATCACTGGGAGACCTGGGGACACGACACTAGGGGACACTGGGAGACATCGGGCACTGAGACACTGATACATAGGAACACTGAGACCTGGAATAATCGACACGTGGGGGCACTGGGAGACATGGGGCCACTGGGAGGAATCCATCTATACAGCAAAATCAAACTAAGTAGTTTTTTGGTGATTTTACAGCATTTTCTCTTATGTCACTCCTTGTGATTTACATCAT